CCCCCGCTCCGGCCCCCGGGGCTAGAGAGGCTGCTGCAGACAGACAGCTGCCTCCTCCATGCAGCCAGCCCGGCCCCAGCTGCGTGCACTACTTTCTACCCTCCTTCCCTGGGAGACGCCCGCTGTGGCCTGACATGAGCTGCCTGTTACGCGGCAGAATTCGGACACACGAGAAGCGCCGCACACCTACCGGACAAGCTCGCAGGCCATGCTGGCGGACGCCCCGGAGCCGGCGAATGTGCGTGCTGCAGCCGGAGCAGGCACAGGGCTGCACTCATTCACGGTTTGCATCACACGGCTGCTGCTGCTCCAACTCAGCCACACGCCAACTTACGAGTTGAGCAGCTTCCTGTGCTGTCCCATCCAACACAGGAAGATGGGCCCTCAGCCAATCCGCATGACTCACTTAAAACTAGCTGTCCTAGGAATCATCCTGCCCCACAGTTACACAAGGAGTCGCTGCCCAAAGCTGGGCGCTCCCCAGAGCTCTCGGCTGCACTGACTCCCCGCAGCCGGGCCCAGCACCGACCCCTGCTGACCCCTGCACGCCCAGGAAACGCAAACGGGGCCACCGCACCTGGCCCCAGTCCAAGCCCTCTGCCCTGGCCCGTGGGACCCTCATCTCTTCGAGGGTTGGAAGGGTTCCACAAGTTCAGGCCCTGGCTGCGTGGGGAGCTACCTGTGCCTGGAAGCAGCAAATGCCCAGCCTCCACGACACGCTCACCCCTCCTCACCCTGCCCAGCCTGGTGCAGAGCTCCTGCCACTCCCATCAAGGCAGATGCTCGGTGCTCACGGCGTCGGACCCTTGCAAGACAGAGGAGCGAGGAGGAAAGAACAGGGTTCCTTTCACTCGCTCGCTGTCCCCTCGCTGAGGGTCAGTCCCTCGGCCACCAGTGAACGTCCCTACACTCGCCCTCTGGATCCCTGTGACCGCTTGGGAGGGACGTCCGGAGGGGCATGGAAGTACGAGACGGGCTTTTCGCAGAGGCTCATTTCCCTTGGCACCCGACCGACTGACCAGTCAACGTTTGTTAGCGCTAAGGTCGTGCCTAGCTGGCAAAGGCAGCGGAGCTAGAGCCAGCGAAGGCCGACAGGAAGCCCTTAACACTTCCTCCTGCCTGTCAATTCTAGCTGGAGGACAGCACACCACGCCACACTACGCCTTCGCGGGCAAGCCGAACCCCAGCCCCACTGCTCCCGGGCGTGAGTCACACCCGAGGCTACGTCTGCACTAGGAGCCCCGAGGGGCACAGCAGCTCTGCTGCTTATGCCCTCCACCCATGCCCAGGGTTTTCCTGCTGCTGGAAGGCAGCCAGCCCTGGGGAGGCTGCAGCAAGGCTGGGAGGAGACTTCCACAGCAGGGGTCAGGCGCACCTTGCCATGCGTACGTGCGCGCTACGAGCATTCAACCGCAAGCCTGCGCCGACACTGGCCCGCTGCTAAAAGCCGGCACGTGCACGGTCCACGGCATGCACGCTGGCAACACTCTCCCTGGCAGGAAAACGCTCCTGCCAACAAAGCGGCAGCCACACCTGCACTTGCGTGGCAGAGCTCCGGCCTTCACAGGCTGAGGGCGGGCTCACGTACCCGTGAACGACAAGAGGCCAAACGCAAGCCACGAGGCCTGAGCCTGTGTTCCGTGGGAGTATGTCTACACTACCACCCTAGTTCGAGCTAGGGTGACAGACCGGTCAGTTTAACGTCTGTCCCAGGGAAGATAATGGAGCAGGTAATTAAGGAAATCATATGCAAACACTTGGAAGGTAATAAAGTGATAGGGAATAGCCAGCATGGGTTTGTGAAGAACAAGTCATGCCAAACTAATCTGATAGCTTTCTTTGATAAGATAACGAGCCTTGTGGATAAGGGAGAAGCGGTGGATGTCATATACCTAGACTTTAGTAAGGCATTTGATACAGTCTCGCATGATATTCTTATTGATAAACTAGGCAAATATAACTTAGATAGGGCCACAATAAGATGGGTGCATAATTGGCTGGATAACCGTAGTCAGAGAGTGGTTGTTAACGGTGCTAAATCCTGCTGGAAAGGGATAACAAGTGGAGTTCCTCAAGGGTCTGTTTTGGGACCCGTACTGTTCAATATCTTCATCAATGATGTAGATATTGGGATAGAGAGTACGCTTATTAAGTTTGCAGATGATACCAAACTGGGTGGGGTTGCAACTTCTTTGGAGGAGAGGGACATAATTCAAAATGACCTTAGCAAGTTAGAGAAATGGTCAGAGGTAAACAGGATGAGGTTTAATAAAGAGAAATGCAAAGTGCTCCACTTAGGAAGGAACAATCAGTTCCATACATACAAGATGGGAAGCGACTGTCTAGGAAGGAGCATGGCGGAAAGAGATCTAGGGGTCATAGTGGACCACAAGTTGAATATGAGTCAACAGTGTGATGCTGTTGCAAAAAAAGCAAATATGATTCTAGGTTGTATCAACAGGTGTGTTGTAAGCAAAACTCGTGAAGTCATTCTGCCGCTCTACTCTGCACTAGTTAGGCCTCAGCTGGAGTACTGTGTCCAGTTCTGGGCGCCACATTTCAAGAAAGATGTGGAGAAATTGGAAAGGGTACAGAGAAGAGCAACAAGAATGATTAAAGGTCTAGAGAACATGACCTATGAAGCCAGGCTTCATGAACTGGGCTTGTTTAGTTTGGAAAAAAGAAGATTAAGGGGGGACATGATAGCGGTTTTCAAATATCTAAAAGGGTGTCACAAGGAGGAAGGAGAAAATTTGTTCCTCTTGGTTTCTGAGGACAGGACAAGGAGTAATGGGCTTAAAGTGCAGCAGGGGAGGTTTAGATTGGACATTAGGAAAAAATTCCTAACTGTCAGGGTGGTCAAATATTGGAATAAATTGCCAAGGGAGGTGGTGGAATCTCCCTCTCTGGAGATATTTAAGAACAGGTTAGATAGACATCTGTCAGGGATGGTGTAGACAGAGCTTGATCCTGCCTTGAGGGCGGGGGGCTGGACTCGATGACCTCTCGAGGTCCCTTCCAGTCCTATTATTCTATGATTCTATGATTAAATTAACTGCTTGCTTACACTGATTATTCAGTTTGTGTAGGGGAGTTGAGGTGTTGGCCTAAATTGCCCTGTAGGCAGGATCTTATTGTGTTAATGGTTTCATGAAAGGACTTCTGATAAGTAACAATATTTTTCTGCTGTTTTTTTCTCTGAAGAAATTGATCATTTTTATAGCTAGCTGGAATGCAATAAAGCTCCCTCAGCTGCTGTTTAGCGATACTCAAAGATCAAAAACAAAACAGGGCTGTCCAGCTGACCTAAGCCCCAGCAGAGATGCCCCAGCGGACAAGGGGTTTTTCCAGCATCTCAGCGCATGCACCTGCCCTCCAGTCCTTCTCCACATGGAAAGAGCCAGATCCCAGGGAACGCTGCGTCATGGGCAGCTGGATCCCCTTAGGGAGTCTGGCCCAGGCCCTGCGCCACATCCCGGCTTTAACCAAAGAGCTCAAGACCTTCCTAGCGCCGCCCGAGACTCGCCAGTCTGCTGGGGCCGGCTAAGTTGAGAAAGTCACCGGATCGCACTGGGCTTTGCCTGTGTCGAACTGTGCCTCACACGGCCCACAGCCAGCTCTTCTGCTGTGAGGCTTGTGCAGACTGGCTGCCCTGGACACAGGCAGACTCAGGCTGGAGGTCAGAAGGACGGAGCAGAGCAGTACATCTGTTTGGAATGTATTCAAGAGACTCCATTTCACTCCCAAGTCTAGCCACACCCCTCAGGAAATTACCCCCCTAATCTCACTGGTTAGCACCCCCTCTCCGCCCCGCATCCTTAGAGCAGGCCAGGACGGTGACCCCTACTGCTAAACGCAACGGGGAAAACAAAGCCTCCACAATCCCACTGTGACGTAGTGGGGGTACTTGCTGGGCTGTGGTGACCCCTGCTGTCTAGAGCAAGACCCAGCAGGGAAAACCTCGCTAGGCAGAGGTAATGCCAAACTTGTTGAACCAGTGGCCAGACACCCCCCATGGAGAGGAACAAAGGAAGGTGGAATGCTGCCCTGACTGCGGGGGCAGGGCTG